TTGTAAAATACAGTAATTTCAACAATGCAACTGTAACAAAGCATTTGTCCTACAGTAAAAACACAGTTCACATTACAGTTAAATACTACGTAATTTACAAAAATCATTTACAGGGTAGGTATAGACACTTTAGCTTATCTAAACCGATGTTTTGCGAATATGTGAACACCATCATGTGCCAGAACAGAGCCTTGGCAAACACAAAAGCAGCAATGACTTATTACATGTGACTGCTGATAACACCCACAGAGATTTGGAAGAGAATGCACTGATTTCATTCCCATAATAAACCTTCAAAAGATTAAATATTCAGCATAGCATATCCATACCTGGGGGCAAAACAGAAGCACACTAATTTGCCATTTATGCTTTTTAAATTTGAGTTTGCTATATCAAATCACAAAATACAGGCATTTACTACAAACTGCAGCGTTTTTGTTTAGAACAGGGGTGCCCAAACTCTGTCCTGGAGGGCCGGTGGCTATGAAAGTTTAGTTCCAACCCCAATCAGACACACCAGGGCTAACCAATCAAGCTCTTATTGGCCTTTCTCGAAACATCCTTGCTGGTGTGTTGAGGGAAGTTGGAGCTAAAATCTGCAGGACACTGGCCCTCCAGGACCGAGTTTGGACACCCCAGGTTTAGAACCATATCGTCCAGAAGCCATTTATGCTAAAATGCTTATTTGTGTGTGTGTGTGTGTGTGTGTGTGTGTGTTTATAATATGATTTTTTTTTACAAATCAATAACTGTGAAAACCACCTCATTACACATTTTCCTAAGCTCAACTATCAAATACACAGACTTTCAACACTTAACTAAGAACCTCCTCTAAGAACCTTTCAGCAACAGGTTATTAGTGTTCATTCATTTTTCTTCAGCTTAGTCTCTTTTTTCATCAGTGGTCGCCACAACGGAATGAACCGGCAACTTATCCAGCAAATTTTTTCACGCAGCAGATGCCCTTCCAGCCGCAACCCAGAACTGGGAAATACCCAGACACACTCATTCACACACATACACTATGGCCAGTTTACAGGTAGATCATGCAAACTACACACAGAAACGCCAACTTGCCCAGCCGGGGCTCGAACGAATGACCTTCTTGCTGTGAGGTGACAGTGCTAACCAATGAGCCACCATCCCAACCTAAACTGTTATTAATATTCTTTAAAAAAGACATCTTTGTCAGTACTTTAGTGTAGTTTATTTGTTTACTGGGACAATGTGAACAAATGTAGATCGTTGACAAATCATTAAAAAGTCACACCTAAAAATAAACAAAGCATACTTCACCTTTACTTTCTTTATTGTCCACAAGTGGAAATTTATCTGGCTTAACCACACAACCACATCAGCATTCACATTACACATATCACAGAAAAACAAGCAACACAATATCTTCAATGTCATTACATAAATCAAATTAAAAACTCAATTAAAACCCTATACGTACTTATTTAAAATTTTTATGGCAGTCGACACAAAGGACACATACATATTTTTCTTTACTTGAGGCTGCCTAAAACATCTTTTTGATGGCAAGAGCTGAGATTTTATATTTAAAGGATGGAAACATTATCATGTGCATTATAGCACAAATATTGTATATATCTATATAAATATACAAAGAGAAGTAAAAAAAAAAAAAGGACATAAGTGGAAAAAGAGAGAAATAACAAAGGCGATAAGACAACAAAGCCAAGGACAAACAGTACAAGAAGGTCTACTGTCAAGAATACAGAACTACCGTTGATACTGTTGATTTGTCAATAACCAATTTTAACAAGAAACTGAAAAGAACGAAGAGTCCTCTAATTGTTGGTGGGATGGAGTTTCATTTCCTCGCAGTATTCACTAAAGATACAAACTGACTGAATGTGCTTTTACTTTAATATAAAAGTTTCAAATATAAAAACAACTATTTGTGTGACAGGGTCTATATATTTCAGAGTGTTGAGCAGTAGAAACACCTGATAAACAATACTGTTCTTCCACGCCAGGAGGGAGAAATCTATTTATATCTGATTGTTTTAAAGAGACCCAGCCAGTGATCAGACTTTCCTAGACACTCTATGTGAAGGAAATGATCCCTTCTTATGTTTGCATGTTATAAATGAACTGCCATGAAGACGCCAATGACATCACAGCACTGTTATAAATAACCATGTTCAGCTGTGATGCATGATCCAGATAAATCCTCTACTATAACACACTTCACAACAGAGCTGAAGCACATGAGTAAAATGACAGTCTCTGGTCAGTCTGAGAGCAGCCTTATATGGCCAAAACCTTTACACTCTCATCAAGCAGAATATCAGAACATATTTGCAGGATGAGCTGTCCGCGTGGAGCCAGGCCAAAAGCAGGATAAACCCCAATTTCCCTGACACTGGATACTCACCCATCGGAAGCCCTTCGCAGTCTGACATTGTGGAAAATCTCTCTCTGGGAAAATCTGAAAGGAAAAAACAAGTTGCTCTTTGAGATTGCGGACACCATCAGACTCCTCTCGGCTTCTGTCCTGCTGAGAACCATGGGATGCAAAGAATGCATATCGAGCCCTCGTGGCCTGGGCCTCTATTGGAGGATAAATATGTTCACACCCTCCCTCCTGCCTCTGGAGGAGATCCATTTAATCTGAGCGGCCTGTGTTACACTCAGAGACTCCATTCCTGGATTCAAATGCTGCACTCTGGTTATTTTGAAGCAGATGAGCCGGTCCAACTCTGCTTTTACCAGTGGATGCCAATGCGTGAGAGACTTTTGTGACTGTGGGTTTAATACAATGACTTGTGTTGTTGTTGAAACAGTGTCACATGTGCATTCAAGTTCAGACATTATACATTATTTTAAAAATACTGTTGTTTCAAGATATTTTATCCTAAATGATTATTACATTTTTAACCCAGTTGTTGGGTTTCTTTTTATATTTTAACCAAATGTGGGTTAAAACAACACAGGTAATCTTAAATAACAGTTTTTTGATGTTTTATAGTTTAATTATATACTAAAAAATACTTTTTGATGTAGTAAAATCTAATAGATTTACTCAGATAATTTTTAAAATGTAATATTAAATGTCGAAGAGTGGCTCAGTCGTTAGCACTGCAAGAAGGTCGCTGGTAAGAGTCCCTGCTGGGTCAGTTGGCAGTATAGAGTTTCTGTGTGGAGTTTACATGTTCTTCCTGTGTTAATGTGGCTTTCCTTCAGGTGCTCCAGTTTCCCCTACAGTCCAAAGACATGCGCTATATGTGAATTGAATAAACTATTGTGACTGTGAGTGTGTATGGATGTTTCCCAGTACTGGGATAGATGCTGGAAGTGCATCCGCTGTGTAAAACATATGCTGGATAAGATTGTGGTTCATTCTGATGTGGCAACCCCTGATGAATAAAGGGACTAAGCCAAAAGAAAATGAATGAAAATAATTAATTGTCGAAAATTACAATTTTGTAAGTAAATATCATTGCAAACCCAGTAGTTTTAAGTACATTTTAATAATGGATATGTCATTAAGGATGTGTAGTTCCCAGCAAGCTTTGCATGGGATTGAATTGAGAGGAGAATGTTTGGAAAATAAAATTAATCTTAAATTTGAGAGAAAGAGTTGTCAGAGTTTAATTTTCATTAGTTTGAAGATTAGAAGAGTTGTGTGTAATTTCTTTTTAGTTTTGAGGTTACCATCTCACAGATGAGTTGCACTCATGCTTTGGGTCTTGGCATATTTACTATTACAGTGTTTTTGGATTGCTTAAGCACTTTTTCAAAACACCTTTAGTGATTTTCAAAACAGGGCCAGTGTGTTCAAAAAAATACACACAATTAGCACAACCACACAGCCAATTAGCAAAACACTACAGATCCTTTGAATAATTAAACACTCTCATAAAAACTATACACTTCTGTTTAAAAAACACAATTTTTTTACCATAAGAAACACACATTTTCACATTTACTATACTCTGTTTGAACGAGTTACACTCTGCTGTGATAAACCTAAAACACTTTTAGCACTTCTACTTCCCTATGATTAGAGTAGGCTACCATCAACAAAGTACAAATATAAAGTAAATTCACCAAAAACTACTCAAGACCAACGCTGCACACTGAAGAAACTCATTTATTCCTCAACATGTCCAACATGTTGGCATAAAGATTCAAAGTACTGTAACACGTCACTTTGCGTATTGAACTGTAAGTTAGACATTGTCTCTTTGCCTAGCTGAATCTGGCAAAGAATTATCAACATTGCAATATTGTCCTTAGCAAGACACCTTGGAAAGAAATGTCTTGAATGTAGAATCTCTGTATTGCTGCTACCCCCATCTGGTCACAGGCCTCCTCCATGGCTTGGATGAGGGGTACCTCAGCCTGGAGATGGAGATCATATACCTTCCACCACTATGCCGAGAAAAACTCTTCTATAGGGTTAAGGAATGGAGAGTGTGCTGGAAGATATAGGGCAGTGAAATGTGGATGTTGCTGAAACCAGTTCTGAACCAGAGCAGAACAGTGGAAAGACACATTGTCCCAGACAACAATGTATTGCATATGATCGATTTGCTTTGCTGCTGTTATGTTGTGCAATTGGTCCAAGAATGTAAGTATATGTGCTGTGTTGTTAGGGCCCATATGGTCATGGCAGTGGAGGACCCCATTCTTTGTAAAGGCTGCACAGAGTGTTACTGTATAATTCCCCCAAGTTGCCCTGTGGCCAAAGTTTCTTCCACTCCATGCTCTCGTCAGGTTAAACCCAGCCTCATCTACAAAAATTAACTCATGCTGCATCTCCTCTCCATCCATTCATAAAAGTACCTGAAGAACAATGTCAGGCAAAAATGTGCAGTTCAGTTTCTTTTGGATTGGGTGCCTTTTGACAATGGTTCCTAAGGGGGTATTTGATGCTATCATTTTCTCGCCAAAAAGCAGAGGGACGTTCAGAGAACGTCACTGCTCAACAGAAGCCTGATTTGACAATTGTCATAAAAGCCAGAGGTTGTTTCCGCTCAGTTTCGAACTGTGGACCTTTCACATGTGAGGCGAACGTGATAATCACTACACTATGGAAACTTGCACCTATGCAGTAATCAGATACCATTTTGGATTGAGTCCCTTTTGACAATCGTTCCTAAGGGTGTATTTGATGTTATCATTTTCTTGCCAAAAAGCAGAGAACTGTTTCTGCTCAGTTTCGAACCTAGGACCATACGAGTGTTGGGCGAATGTGATGACCACTACACTAGAGAAACCCCTCTTATCCTGTTGATGAGCAATTTAGGCCTGCGAAGATAAAACAAGGGGTCGCGTTTGTCGATCAAGCGGAAAAGCATACTCAGTGTGACAAGCTCCCTGCCGGTTTTAGCATACACATCGTTTGCCTTGTTTGGAGCAAGGACTTTGCAGCGAGAATCATCCAGTGAGCAGAGAGCCAACTAAGAATGTGCATAAAAGCAAATCTGCATACTTCCCCCCAGTTTCTAACAGGAACCCTTCCGCATGCAAAGTCATAGTGATAACCACAGGAGCACCATCTTGTGGTGCCATCGCAGAGAGTCTGTTCGTTACTTTCCACAATGTTATCATTCACTGTTCCACGCTTTTCCGAGTACACCTGACCTCCGGTAAATATCCCTCTCTCTAAAAAAAACAAAACTCCTACTCCAGCACTAAATTCTCTGAGCACAAACAAGTCACTTGGAATAAATAAAAAGCACTTCTCGAATGCATTGCCTCATCTTGTTGAATCGCTGAATAACTCTTCTATTGGAAGTCGCTTTGCTCAAAAGTGTCCGCCAAATGTATGTTTCCACCCAGTTTCGAACAGAGGACCTTTTGCGTGTAAGGCAAACATGATAACCACTACACTACGGAAACTTGCACCTACGCAGAAAGCAGATAACCTTTTGGATTAGGTACCTTTTGACAATCGTCCTAAGAGGGCATTTGATGCTATCATTTTCTCGCCAAAAAGCAGAACACTGTTTCTGCTCGATTTCGAACCGTTGACCTTTTGCACATGAGGCGAACGTGATGACCACTTCACTACAGAAACCCCACAGGTCCTTTTTACGTCCTCACAGCGCTTTTCAGAAAAAATGTTTTCAGGCAACGTCAGTGGTGAACAGAAGCATGATTTGACAATTGTCATAAAAGTCAGAGGTTGTTTCTGCCCAGTTTCGAACTGCAGACCTTTCAGGTGTGAGGCGAACATGATAACCACTACACTACGGACACATGCACCTATGCAGAAAGCAGATACCCTTTTTGATTGGGTGACTTTTGACAATCGTCCTAAAGGGGCATTTGATGCTATCATTTTCTCGCCAAACAGCGGAGCACTGTTTCTGCTTGGTTTCGAACCGTTGTCCTTTTGCACATGAGGCAAACGTGCTGACCACTTCACTACAGAAACCCCACAGGTCCTCTTTCTGTCCTCACAGCGCTTTTCATAAAAAATGTTTTCAGGCAACGTCAATGTTGAACAGAAGCATGATTTGACAATTGTCATAAAAGCCAGAGGTTGTTTCTGCCCAGTTTCGAACTGGGGACCTTTCGTGTGACAAAACCAGGGCAGGTAAACACTGAGTAGAATTCAAAATTCTAGCCTCACAGCTCTTTGCAAAAAGAATGTTTTCAGGCAACGTCAGTGCTGAACAGAAGCATGATTTGACAATTGTCATAAAAGCAAGAAATTGTTTCCACCTGGTTTCAAACTGGGGACCTTTTGCGTGTGAGGCGAACGTGATAACCACTACACTACGGAAACTTGCACCAATGCAGAAAGCAGATACCCTTTTGGATTGGGTGCCTTTTGACAACCGTCCTAAAGGGGCATTTGATGCTATCATTTTCTCGCCAAAAAGCAAAGCACTGTTCCTGCTCGGTTTCGAGCCATGGACCTTTCGTGTGTCAAGTGAACATGATGACCACTTCACTACAGAAACCCCACAGGTGCTTTTGATGGCCTCACAGCGCTTTGCAGAAAGAATGTTTTCAGGCAACGTCAGTAGTAAACAGATGCATGATTTAACAATTGTCATAAAAGCTAGAGGTTATTTCCAGCCAGTTTCAAACTGTGGACCTTTCGTGCATGAGGTGAACGTGATTACCACTACACTATGGAGACTGTTACCAATGCAGTAAGCAGATACCCTTTTGAATTAGGTGCCTATTAACAATCGTTCCTAAGGTGGTATTTGTTGTTATCATTTTCTTGCCAAAAAAGCAGAACATTGTTTCTGCTCGGTTTCGAACCAAGGACCTTTCGCGTGTTAGGCGAAGGAGATGACCACTACACTACAGAAACCACACAGGTGCTTTTAGCAGGCAAGTTAGGCCTCCCAAGATAAAACAAGGGGTCCGCATTTGTTGATCAAGCGGACAAAGCATACTTAGTGTGACAAGCTCCCTGCCGGTTTGAGCATACATGTCGTTTGCCTCGCTCGGAGGAAGGACTTTGTAGCGAGAATCATCCAGTGAGCAGAGAGCCAACTAAGAATGTGCATGAAAGCAAATCTGCATACTTCGCCCCAATTTCTAACAGGAACCCTTCCGCATGCGAAGTCATAGTGATAATCACAGGAGCCTCAAGTTGGGGTGTGAGCACCATCTTGTGGTGCCATCGCAGAGAGTCTGTTCACTACTTTCCACAATGTTATCATTCACTGTTCCACGCTCTTCCGAGTACACCTGACCCCCGGTGAATATCCCACTTTTTAAACAAAACAAAACTCCTACTCCAGCACTAAATTCTCTGAGCACAAACAAGTCACTTGGAATAAATAAACAGCACTTCTCGAATGCATTGCCTCATCTTGTTTAATCGCTGAATAACTCCTCTATTGTAAGTCGCTTTGCTCAAAAGTGTCCGCAAAATGTATGTTTCCACCAAGTTTCGAACAAGGGCCATTTTGCGTGTAAAGCAAACATGATAACCACTACACTACAGAAACCACATGATTGCTTCTTCAAGTTTTTAAAGTGATTTTTATAGAACTGTCTTGTGCGGTTTGCACCGTGAAGGGCCAGCAAACGCACTGGCCACCTGCTCATTCACAACACAAAGCTGAAAGAAATCAGATTTTACGCAAGTTTGCAACAGAACCAGGGCAGGTAAACACTGAGTAGAATACAAAATTCTAGCCTCACAGCGCTTTGCAGAAAGAATGTTTTCAGGCAACGTCAGTGCTCAACAGAAGCATGATTTGACAATTGTCATGAAAGCAAGAGGTTGTTTCCACCCAGTTTCGAACTAGGGACCTATCGCATGTGAGACGAATGTGATAACCAGTACAGTACGGAAACTTGCAGCAATGCAGAAAGCAGATACCCTTTTGAATTGGGTGCCTTTTGACAACCGTCCTAAGGGGGCATTTAATGCTATAATTTTCTTGCCAAAAAGCAAAGCTCTGTTTCTGCTCGGTTTCGAGCCATGGACCTTTCGCATGGCTAGCGAACATGATGACCACTTCACTACAGAAACCCTACAGGTGCTTTTAATGGCCTCACAGCGCTTTGCAAAAAGAATGTTTTCAGGCAACATCAGTAATTGATGACAGTATTGATGTATTTGATGTTATCATTTTCTCGCCAAAAAGCAGAGAACTGTTTCTGCTCGGTTTCGAAGCGTGGACCTTTCGCGTGTCAGGCGAACGCAATTTTTTTTTTTTTGAATAAAAAAATCACCACATCACATTAAAATTTAAACACTTCAAGAAATTTCACAAAACAAATACATTAAAATAAACATTCTTCATAAAATAACATCCTCTTTGGGCATTTTCCGCTTTAAACCATTTAAAACATTATACACTTCATCATTAAACACATCATAAAAGCTTGGTAACATATCTTCTCCTTTAAAATACCAATACAGTCTTTCTTTGTATCTTTCCATTTTTTGTTTTAGTACATTCCACACATTTAAAACAACTTTTTCCTGTTTTGCTACATTTCTTCTTTCCCACACACATTTTTTAATGATCATTATAAGAAGATTTACAAACATTTTGTTTTTGTTTTTCATATTCCATCCGAACATCACCAGAGTATTCCATTCCGATTGTTCTTCCTCCCAATATTTCAATAAATCTTTTAGCATTTTTTGGCATTTCATGTAAAAATATTCTAATTCTTTACAGTGTAAAAACAGGTGTAAAATTCCTTCATCTTCTTAAAAACATACCTTACATGTTGCATTTTGTTCTATCTGTATCTTTGTTAAAATGCACTCAGTAAAAATTGCCTTGTGTCTTATGAAATATTCAAAATATTCCAATCTTTTTTCTATTATTTTCCCTCTCATGTTTTCCCATATATTTTCCTTTTTCACTCTATTCAATCTTTGTACCCAAAAGTTATTTGCTATTGGTTCTTGAAATACACTATCTCTAAAATAAACATAAAAGTCTTTCAGTAAACAATCTTTAAAATTACAAAGTTTTCCTTTTAAACTGACATGTATGCCTTTTTCATTCCCATCTTCTTCCATATTTTCTATTCTTTTAATCCATTCTTTTGGTATGGCACATTTGACCGTTTCAAGTTTATTTTCTATTTCCTTTACACTGTATTCCTCTTTGGCTTCTTGCATTAAGTCTACTATATATTGCTTAGTTTAAAATCCCTTTTTGAAATCATAAAGAACATCCCTTATTCTTAAAATCCCTACATCCATCCATTTTTTTAAAAATAGTTCCTTCCCTTCTTTTAAAATACTTTTATTTAAAAACAAAGGTTGATTTAACAAGTTTTCTCTTCCCTTTACTTGGTAAAATACTCCGTCTAAAAATTTTCCCCATGCACTTAAAATTTCTTGATAAAACCCTGTTAACTTTTCCGTCATCCAGTTTTTTGTTTTTAACCAAAGAATATCTTCTCCTAAGTTAAAATTGCCAACTTTGTTTAAAAAATATTTCATGACCTTTTTCCATTCTGTTGAGTTCTCCTCTTGTAAAAGCTTTTTAACTATTTTGACTCTAAGACAATTCTTCCTTTGTTTAATATCAATCAATCCTATCCCTCCTTCTTCTGTTGCTCCTATTATTGTATTGTACGCAATTCTTGGGGGTTTCCCCTCCCATAAAAAAATTGTGAACACACTTTTTCAATCTCCCTTCTATCCAACATGGCATTTCTGTTATATATAATTTATACCATAGCTTTGATATCATTAAAACATTTAATATTAAGGCTTTCCCCTTTAAGCAAAGTTCTCTCATCCTCCAGAAATTTAATCTTGATTCTATTCCTCTTATTAGATCATCCCACATCTTTTCTGTTGCTTTTCTTTCATTTTTTTACCAATTAAAATTCCTAAAATTTTCAGTTCTTCTACTTGTCTAAATTGGAAACAATCTGTTAAAATAAATTTTCATTTATTTTGCTTCCTGTTCCCTTACAAAACTCCTGTACTTTTTTCATGGCTTCTTTTACACTCTTTTTATCCTTCACTATTATTGTTGTATCATCAGCATACTGGTATATTTTTCCTTCATCCTCCTCTTCTTCTATTTTTATTCCTTTAATATTAGTTTCTTGTTTTATTGCTAACCCTAAAGGTTCTGCGACTAGGGAATATAATAGTGTTGAAAGAGGACATCCTTGTCTAATTGATCTTGTAATTTTAAAACAATCTGTTAAAAATCCATTACATTTTACTTTTGTTAAAGCCCCTTTATATAAAATTTTAATCCAATTAATAAAATTCTCTCCAAATCCAAATGTTTTGAGTACATCAAATAAATAAGTATGTTCTACTCTGTCAAAAGCCTTTTCAAAATCTAAACTAATTAAATACCCATTCATCTTCTTTTCTTGTAAATATTCTATTGTGCTTTTAATGCTCATTGTTACATCTGCAATATCTCTCCCTTTTATTGCATATGCTTGGTTTGATTAAATTAATTTGGGCATAACTTCCTTTAATCTATTCGCTAAAACTTTTGCTAAAATCTTTAAATCTGTATTCAACATTGTTATTGGTCGATAATTTGGTAGTTCAGCTTTTGCTCCTTTTCTTTTATATATTAACTTCATTAATCCCATCCCCATTCTTTCATACATCTCTTAACATTTCAAAATTTCTTTAAAAACTTGTTTAAGTATTCTTTTAAAATATCTTTAAAAACAATATAAAATTCATTTCCTATTCCATCTATACCTGGACTTTTCTTTGTATTTAGTTGATTTATTGCAATTTCAATCTCTTCTTCTTCTATTTCTCTGTCACATTCTTTGTTGTCATCTTTTTCTATTTTTACTTTTATATAATTTAGAATCTTCCTTTCTTTTTCTTCATCAATACCTTTTGCTTTAAATAGATCTTCATAAAAATGTTTGATTTCTTTTAGTATTTCTATGTTTCCTTTCGCCATTTTTCCATTTCTCCCTTTAATTTCCTTTAGTATTCCTGCTTTACCTCTTTGCTTCTCTAAATCAATAAAGAATTTCGTGCATTTTTCCCCTTCTACTGTGTATTTAGATCTGCTCCTTATCATTGCCCCCTTATATCCTCTTCTAAATCTCGTAATTTTTGCTCTATTTCTTAGATTTTTTCAATATCTTTATTTTCCTTGTTTAATTCTTTTTCTAAGGATCTTTTAACTTCTTTTTCTGTATACTTTTTACATCTTTGTAGTACTGCGCAATATTTGATTGTGTATTTTCTTATTTGATATTTTGTGTTTTCCCACCATATCCTTTATCTTCATCATACATTCTATTTTCTTTTTCTTTTTCTATTGTTTCTTTGACTTTTTGAACATAATCTTGATTCTTTAAAATGGGTGTGTCTAAAATCCAAGTCCCTCTTCCTTTTTGTATGCTTTCTATATTCACTTTAAAATGCAAGAGCTTATGATCATTAAAACTGTTCTCTTCATACTGTATGTTTTCTATAAAATTTTCAATATTTCTAGTACATAAAATAAAATCTATTCTCGTTTGACATATAAAATTCCCCACTATTTGTCTCCTTGAAAACTCTCTTTTTTCTCTATTCCTTTCCCTCCATATATCTGCTAATCTATTTTCCTTTATTAACTCATTTAGTTCATTTCTTCCTATATTTTATTTAAAAACCATTCCATCAGCCATATCTTGTTTTCTAAAAACAGTATTAAAATCTCCCATCATTATTATTTCTTTAAAACCTTTTAATACTTTATTTAAAACCTCAAAAAATTCTTTTTTGTCTTTATCTTCTGTTGGTGCATGTATATTTGCTATTATTAATTCATGTCCTTCATAGTTCACCTCTATTACTAAACATTTTCCATAATTATCCCTATACACAATTCTTTTAAAGTTTAAAACATCTTTCCTTATTAAAAAAAGCAACACCTCTTCCAGATTTACCATCACCGTTATTATATATAATATCCCCTTGCCACAACTTTTTAAAATGGTCCATTGCATGTTCTTTCCAGTTAGTTTCCTGTAAACCTATCACTTCCTTGTGTTTACATTTCTCTTTCATTTTCTCAAATTTATCTTTTCCCATCAGTCCCCTTGCATTAAAATACACACAGTTTAAAACCATTAAAATAAATAAAAATGAAATTAAACACCTACACATCCTCATTGTCCTTCATCTCCTTCCAACGCTCTCAACCAACAACTCCTTCCGTTAAAAGAGACAAAGATTAAAAGCATTTTAAAATAGATAAAATATTTTTAAAAACATCATTTTTCTTCATCTTCTTCCAGTCCCCTTAACACTTCATACCTATTTGCATATTTAGCTCTGTTCTTTGTTAAAACTTTTTTCTTTACCATGTCCAAGTTTGGTTTTACCTTAAAAGTTCTTCTTCTTAAAAATCCTCTTTCCACTTTGTTCTTATCCACATTTTCCATCCTTGTTTCTTCATCATTTGCCATTCCTTCAGCTTGACCAGTCTTTCTTAGTTCCTCTTTTTCCACCGTGCTTAAAAAAGTTTTAAAACTGTCCAATATTTCCATTTGTGACCACTGTCCATCTTGTCCTGATAACTGTACTTCATTCTCTTCATTTTCGTTTTCTCCTTCCCTTTTTTCATTGTTATTCATTTCCTCCTCTATTGTCCTTTCTATTGCTTCATTATCGTCTTCCCTATTGTTGTTTTGTTCATGCACCTGCCGGTCCTGATCTTCTCCTCCTCCATCCTCTCCTTCCATCCAGCATTCACACTTGTTTAAAAAATTTTTACATTCCGGGCACCTGACAGTGATACAGTCTCTTGCAAAATGTCCCCTTATGCGCATTTGTAGCACTTGAATTCTGGACAGTCTTTCAGCATGTGTTCCGGGCTCATGCACAGCCTACGTCAGTGCTGAACAGAAGCATGATTTGACAATTGTCATAAAAGCTAGACGTTTTTTCCGCCCAGTTTCGAACTGGGGACCTTTAGTGTATGAGGCGAATGTGTTAACCACTACACTACGGAAACTTGCACCAATGCAGGAAGCAGATGCCCTTTTGGATTGGGTGCCTTTTGACAATCGTTCTTAAGGTGTTATTTATTGTTATCATTTTCTCGCCAAGAAGCAGAGCACTGTTCTTGCTCGGTTTTGAACCAAGGACCTTTCGCGTGATAAGCAAACGTGATGACCGTTACACTACAGAAACCACGCAGGTGCTTTTAACAGGCAAGTTAGCCCTCCCAAGATAAAACAAGGGGTCCGCGTTTGTCGATCAAGCGGACAAAGCATACTCAGTGTGACAAGCTCCCTGCTAGTTTTAGCATACACGTTGTTTGCCTCGCTCGGAGGAAGGACTTTGTAGTGAGCACCATCTTGTGGTGCCATCGCAGAGAGTCTGTTTGTTACTTTCCACAATGTTATGGACCGTTCGCGTGTCAAGCGAACATGATGACCACTTCACTACAGAAACCCCACAGGTCCTTTTAATGGCCTCACAGCGCTTTGCAGAAAGAATGTTTTCAGGCAACGTCAGTAATCAACAGAAGCATGAATTACCAATTGTCATTAAAGCTAAACGTTGTTTCCTCCCAGTTTCGTACTGGGGACCTTTAGTGTATGAGGCGAACGTGTTAACCACTACACTACGGAAACTTGCACCAATGCTGGAAGCAGATGCCCTTTTGGATTGGGTGCCTTTTGACAATCGTTCCTTAGGTGTTATTTAATGTTATCATTTTCTCGCCAAAATGCAGAGCACTATTTCTGCTGAACAGAAGCATGATTTGACAATTGTCATAAAAGCAAGAGGTTGTTTCCGCCCATTTTCGAACTAGAGACCTTTTGCGTGTGAGACAAACGTGATAACCACTACACTACGGAAACTTGCACCAATGCAGGAAGCAGATACCCTTTTGGATTAGGTACCTTTTGACAATTGTTCTTTTGGGCGCATTTGATGCTTTCATTTTCTCGCCAAAAAGCAGAACACTGTTTCTGCTCGGTTACGAACCGAGGACCTTTCACGTGTTAGGCAAACGTGATGACCATTACACAACAGAAACCACACAGGTGCTTTTAACAGGCAAGTTAGCCCTCCCAAGATAAAACAAGGGGTCCGCGTTTGTCGATCAAGCGGACAAAGCATACTCAGTGTGACAAGCTCCCTGCTGGTTTTAGCATACACGTCGTTTGATAAATCAAATCTGCATACTTCGCACCAGTTTCTAACAGGAACCGTTCCGCATGCAAAGTCATAGTGATAATCACAGGAGCCTCCGGTTGGGGTGTGAGCACCATCTTGTGGTGCCATCGCAGAGAGTCTGTTCACTACTTTCCACAATGATATAATTCACTGTTCCACGCTCTTCCGAGTACACTGAATAACTCCTCTATTGTAAGTCGCTTTGCTCAAAAGAGTCCGCCAAACATATATTTCCGCCCAGTTTCGAACAGGGGACCTTTCGCGTGTAAAGCAAACTTGATAACCACTACACTACGGAAACCACATTGATGTAGTTTCAAGTTTTTAAAGTAATTTTTATAGAACTGTCTTGTGCGGTCTGCACCGTGAAGGGCCAGCAAACGCACTGGCCACCTGGGGTCCGTTCTTCGTACGTGGATTACTCAATTAGCTGGATTTGGATATTGACGATTTGACACGATCCAGGATCATTTCGTTCTTCAAAAGTTTTCCGAGAGTTGTTGTCATAGCAACAGGTCTGGCAACTCAAACCTGGTCGGAAGCAGGCTTATTTCATGTAAACAGGATTAGATCGCGGCTTTTTAAGCGCAGCTGATTCAGGAAATCTGTTGCATTTGCAGTCATGTCTTGTCCGTTTTTAAGAGAGCAACCTGTTGCGGAAGGTGCGCTAATAATACGACGAGCTTTTAGAATTAACCGCGTCTTGAAACAGAGAAATGATCCTTTAGCGCAGCAGGATCATATACTTTTTGAGCGATATCGTTTTTCACGTGAGGGTATCATGTACATTGTAAATTTGTTGGATCCTCATATTAAAAGTTTGACCCGTCGGAGTCGGGCTTTAACATCAGCACAAACCGTGTGTATCGGGTTAAGATACTTTGCGAGTGGCACTTTTCTTTATACCATCGGGGATGCAGAGAATTTGTCCAAAAGTGCTGTCTGTCGTGCTATTCGCAAAGTTTATCTGGCACTGAAGCAGTTTTTAGGAAGTGTTGTTGTATTTCCTAGCCACTTAAGACCACAAGTGGTGAAACAAAGCTTCTTCGCCATTGCAGGTACCTTATATTTAGAAATTACTAATGAAGATGGTGTTAATATGTGCACGCCTAAATAAATTTGATTATGCCCCAGGCTTCCCTAATGTGATTGGTGCCATAGACTGCACACACATTCAAATCAAGGCCCCCCCTGGCCCTAATGAAGGAGATTTTGTGAACCGAAAAGGGGTTCACAGTATAAATGTGCAGGTAAGTAATTTCATTCATACATACACACACACACACACACATATATATATATATATATATATATATATATATATATATATATATATATATATATATATATATATATATATATATGTGTGTGTGTGTGTATATGTGTATACATATATATATATATATATATATATGTGTGTGTGTATATGTGTATACATATATATATATATATATATATATATATATATATATGTGTGTGTGTGTGTATATATGTGTATATATATATGTGTGTGTGTGTATATATGTGTATATATATATATATATATAACAATGTGTGTGTGTCCTAGATGGTGTGTGACTCTATGTACCATATCACAAATGTGGAAGCAAAATGGCCAGGATCTGTGCATGACTCAAGAATTTTCAGAGAGTCACATTTATACACATCATTTGAACGCGGTAAGGCAAAAAGAACAAAGTTTATTTTTATCCAAATTAAGACCCTAACATAAATGCCTTCTACAGGTGATTACGATGGAATCCTGCTTGGTGACAGGGGTTATGCTTGTAGGCAGTATTTTATGACCCCATTCCCTGACCCTAACCCTGGGCCACAAACTCGCTATAATGCAGCTCTAGTCAGGACAAGGGCACGCATTGAAATGACCTTTGGCCACGTAAAGGGAAGATTTCAATGTCTGAAACATCTGCGAGTTGCACCTGACCGGGCATGTGATATTATTGTTGCATGTACAGTCTTGCACAATATTGCTACCATTAGAAGGGAGAGAATCCATGTGGTGCCAGTGCAGCATAATAATGACCTTCAGCCAGTGCATTTGGACCAACCCAGTGGCAGAGCTGCACGCGACAGGATTGTGTCACATCATTTTTGATGAAATTGTATTAAAATTACGAAGACAAAAAATAAAAAAAAATGAAAATAAAACGCACCCGATAATGTTTTGTACCATTTATTAAATTTTTTTGTAACACACACACACACACACACACACACACACACGTCATCTTTTGCCTGCAAAGAGAGGAAAAATTATGCAAGGTCAACAGTAGTGGCCCAGTGTGAAAATGTTGTTTTAGTACTTACTCTGAAGTTCTTTTTGCAACAATTGTATTTCTAGCTCCATTTTTGTTTTCATTAGTTGCTGCAGCTCGATTTCTCCTTGTAGTTTTTGTTTTTTAAGCTCTAAATACTCCACTTTATGTTGGAGGCTCCTCTTATATAGAGAACGAATGTCACCCTGTGCCATTTTGAGAGTTAAAATTAAAAACATACAGTTAAATTATTATTTTTATTAATTTTTTTTTTTTTAAATCAAAACTGCTGTACAATCTACCTCTTTATCACTGTGCCGGTCAAAAGGCCTCTTAGAAGGCATGGACTCCTGCAGAGAAAAAAAATAAAGTAATTACACATACACACTATGATTGGAGACATTGTTTGATTATGCACTTACTGTCAACTCCTCAAAACACTCATCTGAAAGAGTCTCCTCACTGTTCTGTGCATTAAGGAAAAAATATATAAATATATGCATGAAGTGGTTGGCATGAGTCTTAACTACTGATTGAAAGATTGTTAAAAAAAAAAATGTAGCCTAGCATCAGTCCACTTACCACTTATGCCACAACTTCAAATGGAATTGATATAAGTGTAGGTGTATCATTAGAAACTTCACAGATAAAATAAAGAAATACAGCATAATGAGCTACACGGGAACATAAATCTAACAACTATACAAACAAGTTTAGCCATCTTTCTTTACGGCAATACAAAACTATTTAATATACCATTTTAAAATTTGTATACATGACATTTAGATTAAAAACTGCAATGTAGAAACATAATTCAAATCATATTTACCAGTGATGACTGTGGTGCCCTTACTGGTCCCTGGCTGTGGCTCTAGGGAAGAGCTGCCCCCTGGTATGCCCTGAACAATTGGCCTGTTTGCATTAAAACCAAGGGCAAGCTCTTCTGCCGGGGTATGAGGTGGAGGTGCAGGACCACCACCCGTTTTTTTTGTTCACACCTTTTCCTAGTAGCTGATGGGGAAAAAAAACAAAAAAAAAAACCTCATTATTCACTTTATTTCTATGTGCAAATGATCACACACACAATAAAGAAACGTACTTTATTTTTTAAAATGTATTTACCATTTTGTAGAATGTTCTTGTATTTTACCTTTACTTGCTCCCATGTTCTTATGGGTCCCGTGGTGGCTCTAATTAAATAAAACAGTCTAAATGTCATTATCACAAATTATTGTAAGAGTATTAACCTCTAGCACATACATTACTTACGCATTCAATTTTTCTGCAACTTTTTCCCAGCCCTCTCTTCTGGTTTTCGCCGCTTTTGATGTATTCCCAGAGGTTTTTATTAAATGCTGAAATTCACCATAACCCTCAATGAGGAGCTCTTGCTCCGCTTGTGTGAAAAAAGTCGCACGCTCTTTTGCCATTCCTTAACGATGTTGTTAATCATTGTTTCTACCATCGATACATAGTGCCTTTTAAACCCGCGCATGAACACGCAACAATCTCAGATCATTCAATCCAGCCATACTAATCAGAAACAACCGGTGTGTTCGAAGAACCTAATTAGCCAGATAATGATTAGCAGGATTATATCATCTTGGATGTGTATTTTGATCTCGGATGTAATTAGCGACGTACGAAGAACGGACCCCTGCTCATGCACAACACAAAGCTGAAAGAAATCAGAATTTACGCAAGTTTGCAACAGAACCAGGGCAGGTA